AAGAGGGCATTTAAGTTGCTGTGGATCTGGAGTCACATGGAGGCCAGCCTAGGTGAGCCTGGGGGCTTCTTTCCCTAAAGGACAGTATCTAAGGGACAATAGGAGCAGGAGGAGGCCACTCAGCCCCTCGAGTCTGCTTTATCATTCAATAAGATCATGAACTGATGTGATTACTCCATATTCCTGCTCTCCCCCAATAAACGTTCTCCTCTTGTTTATCAACAACCTATATACTGCTGCCTTAAGATGATTTAAACACTCTGTTTCCACCACATTTTGAGGCACAAGAGTTCCAAAGACTCACCACCCTCGGTGAGAAACATTTTCATCTCATCTCTGTCTTAAATGAGCAACGCTTTAATTTTAAACGATGACCCCCAAGTTCTAGATTCTCCCACGAGAGGAAACATTCTTTCCACATCCACCTGGTCAAGTCCCCTCAGGATCCTTAACGTTTCAATTAAGTCACCTCTGACTCTCCTAAACCATAGAGGATATAGGCCTCACCTGTCTAACCTTGCCTCATAAGGCAATCCACTCATTCCAGATATTAGTCTGGTGAAGTTTCTCTGTCTCCAATGCATTAACATCTGTCTTTAGTGAACCAGCTGTTTGTTTATAATGATATCAGAGTCATCAATGAGGCTGGTTTTAAAAAGACAGATTATAAATTTGTGAAATTTAAATTGCATCTTCAATTCCATGGCGGGATCACAGAGCTGTAGCCTGAGTCTCTAGTTTTACTGGTCCAGTGATATTACTGCTCCACCACCATCCCATTCCTGTGATGGTTGGTAAATGAGGTGTACCCAGTTAGACCCATCCAGTTTGATGGGTTCTTAGATGACAGACAATCTGCAGACTCTGCTATTTTGAGGGTCACTGGTGCTTGATGGATTAAATTGATGAGATTTTTGGAGATTTATGCGCTCTTCCTGACTCCGCTCAGTGGGTCCTCCTGGAGCCTCCTGATTCGTCCAGTGCCTTCCCACAATCCATCTTCTCCATTTTGGCCAGCCACATGATGGGGATACCCATGAGCCAGCAAGATATTTGACCTCTCCTGGTATCCTTTCAGGACATTGCTCATAACTGCTTCAGAAACCTCAGGGGCCCTCAATCAACAACGAATGGTCCAGAAGGCCCTTGTAACTGGCCCAACATGGCAGGATCCCTGGCTGCCACCCTCTGAGGATGCAATTTTCAAATCCCCTCCCCCGTCACCACTGGAAATTGAACATCTAGCCCTGTGTGTTGATGTGGGCTGCTAAGACAGATAATTAAGAAGAGGGATGTTTGTGTGGTACCTGTTCTATCTTTCATTGGCCCTAGTTTTCTTAGTAAATTGAGATTGAGTGGGTATCTTATGCTCGGGTTCTTTCTGCCCGACTCTCTTCCCTTAACCCTTTGATAAAGCCATTGTATGTATGGTTTGCATTCTGATACACTGGTACTGCTCAAGCACTTCCATAGTTTTCTTTTGTATTCATTCACAGGATGGGGACATCACTAGCTAGCATTTATTGCCCATCCCTTAAGAGTCAACCACATTGCTGTGGGTCTGGAGTCACATGTAGGCCAGACCAGGTAAGGATGGCAGTTTCCTTCCCTAAAGGACATAAGTGAACCAGATGAGTTTTTCCCCAACAATGGTCACCATTAGACTCTAATTCCAAATTTTTTTCTATTGAATTCAAATTCCACCATCTGCTGCAGCGGGATTTGAACCTGGGTCCCCAGAACATTGCCTGGGTCTCTGGATTAACAGTCCAGTGATGATATCACTAGGCCATCGCCTCCCCAATTTCTCAAACATACTCTAATTGTCTAAAGGTTCTCGGCGCCTTCCCGGATGCTCCTCCTGTGCTTTGGATGGTCTTGGGCCAGTGTTTCTGTGGGAATGCTGTACTTCCCCAGTGAGGCCTGGAGGATATCACTGAAGCGCTTCCTCTGTCCACCTGGGGTTCCCCTGCCTTTTCAAAGCTGGGAGCGGAGCACCTGCTCAGGGAGTCTCGTGTTGGTCATGCGGACGACGTGCCCAGCCCATCACAGCCGCTCAAGGGTGGTCAGTGATGGAAACTTTCTTCCCAGGTCCTTCCAAGGAGCTGCCCGGAAAGTTGCCACCCAGGTTGATAGGGTTGTTAAGAAGGCATACGGTGTGTTAGGTTTTATTGGTATAGGGATTGAGTTTCGGAGCCATGAGGTCATGTTGCAGCTGTACAAAACTCTGGTGCAGCCGCACTTGGAGTATTGCATACAGTTCTGGTCGCCGCATTATAGGAAGGATGTGGAAGCATTGGAAAGGGTGCAGAGGAGATTTACCAGGATGTTGCCTGGTATGGAGGGAAGGTCTTATGAGGAAAGGCTGAGGGACTTGAGGCTGTTTTCGTTAGAGAGAAGAAGGTTAAGAGGTGACTTAATAGAGACATACAAGATGATCAGAGGATTAGATAGGGTGGACGGTGGGAGCCTTTTTCCTCAGATGGTGGTGGCTAGCATGAGAAGACATAGCTTTAAATTGAGGGGTGATAGATATAGGACAGATGTCAGAGGTAGGTTCTTTACTCAGAGAGTAGTAAGGGCGTGGAATGCCCTGCCTGCAACACTAGTAGACTCGCCACCTTTAAGGGCATTTAAATGGTCATTGGATAAACATATGAATGATAATGGAATAGTGTAGGTTAGATGGGCTTCAGATTGGTTTCACAGGTCGGCGCAACATCGAGGGCTGAAGGGCCTGTACTGCGCTATAATGTTTTATGTTCTTTGTTCATAGCTCCCCGCAGCAAAGTAGCAGCAGATTCCAACATGACTGCCACCTTGCCATTTGGAGCTGGTGCCAGGCAGACAGCCCACACCTCCTGGAAGCACTGGGTAACTGAATGCACAGCTCGTCCCTTGACCAATCAAGACACTGACTGTTCAATTTATCAGCCTTTTCGTCTTCTTTCAACAAGACGAAACACAACCCAGTTCACACCATGTCATTGCGATTGAATTAAAGCAGTCCCCACTCATTTTGTTGAATATATCACAGCAGGTGGTTAACTGCTTCAATGACATGACTCAATATGGGATTGAGCTAATCTCATTCCTAATCAGCTCTGACAACAACAAATCTGCCATTACCAAAAGTAGTTTCAATTTGACAGTCAATGACCAGGGCAATTAGGAAGCATATCTGAGGGAGTGGAAACATTTCTCTTGATGGGAGCAACTTTATCGCACATCACACACAAAAAAAGCTAATACCTGCAACATCACTTTCAGACCTTTCATTATCGAGGCTGGGTCATTAGGCACATTCAAGGCTGAGATAGACTATATTTAATCAGTAAAGGGAATCGAGAGTTACGGGGAAAAGCCAGGAAATTGGAGTTGATTTTCATCAGATTAGCCATGATCTCACTGAATGGCAGAGCAGGCTTGAAGTGCCAAATGGCCTACTCCTGCTCCTATGTTTTACGGTCTTAAGAGAAAAACACAGACACACATTACAGAGACACACAGGATCACACTGTACAGAGACACACAGGATCACGCTGTACAGAGACACACAAGGTTACTCAGTACAGACACACAGGGTCACACTATACAGAGATACAGGAAGTCAGACTGTACACAGGTACAGAGACACACAGGGTCACACTGTACAGAGACACAGGAGGTCAGACTGTACAGAGACACACAGGGTCACACTGTACAGACATACAGGGTCACACTGTACAAAGACACAGTGACACACAGGGTCACAATATACAGGGACACAGAGACACACAGGGTCACACTGTAGAGACACGCAGGGTCACACTGTGTAGGGACACACGGGGCCAGATTGTACAGAGACACACAGAACGCAGGGATCACAAATGACAGATATTGAGAAGGGTCCCATGGTACACATAGACCCAAAGTTCACACTGTAGAGAAGAAAAAACTCATCAAATGGAGTGACGTTGTTTGATGCAGTTGTGCAATATCAAAAAGGTCCTGAGCCTAATTGCAGAAAAGCAGGGCGTGTCCTGTTGCGGTCACACTTCAGCTGCTTGTTTGGAGTGGTACTGGAGGCCGGGACCAGTGAGGTGCCGCCTCAGTGAGAGATTCGAGACTGGACTGAGGCTTGGACTGCTGGAAAGGGGATCACAGTCCTGTGGGAATCATACCCATGTGAGACCAGACTGGCAAAGGATGGTGCAGGAATTGAACACCCCCATGGGATGGCCAAGGCAGTACCTCAATGCAGTGGTTGACCTGGATCAAGAATTCAGAGCAGGTGGTTCTGAACATGCAGGGCACTCAAAATCACGCATTTAGTTAACACAAAACGCTGACAATCACTTGTTCAGTGCTACAACACTCTCACTCCCATGTTCTGTAGCGAGTAACTCCCCTCCTGACTCCCCAAAACCTGTCTACCATCTAATGTACAAGTCAGGAGTGTGATGGAATACTCCCCACTTGCCTGGATGAGTGCAGCTCCAACAACACTCAAGAAGCTTGACACCATCCAGGACAAAGCAGCCCCCGCTTGATTGGCACCACATCCTCAAATGTTCACTCCCTTCTCCACACAGTGAGAGCAAGGTTTTCCCAGCACCCCCCACCTCCACCCCGCAGTGTACAGACACTTGCCCTTTTGTGAGACACCCTGCCCCCCCAGGTGACACTGCTGTGCACAGGCAGATCCCAGTCCTGGGACACCCACTTCCCAGTTGCAAAACACCCCAAGCCGCTCCCCCAGGATGCATGGATGAATCCCAGTCCCGGATCTCCCCCCACCAGCTGTGAAACACCCCAAACACCCCTCCCAGGGTGCACAGGCAGATCCCAGTCCAGAATCTACCCCCACACACACA